CTTTCTCAGCTGCGCCTGGTGAGGGCGCTGTCTCTCCCTCCTCTTCCCGAGCGGCAGAGTGCTCCGGACCCCGGGGGCCCCTCTCCCACCGAACTCTGACCTTCTGCGCTCGCAGGCCCTGCACAGGGGTGTCCAGCGCCAGGACCAGCTTAACTGAGCACACTGGCAGTAGCACAGACCTTATTAACATTAATTGAAACCATTAGCATCTTACTTGATCCAATTAGCACCTTGACCGAACCCTTTGATATTTTCCCTTAGCAGCTGATCTAATTAGCATATTCAATGACCCCTTTTATCTTTAATTCCATTCATTGGCATCTTAATTGGACCATTCCAGCAGGCTAACGGAGCCCATCAGCCTCTCCTGCTGACGTCTCCCCCTCCCCCGCCAGGTTCTCCACCAGCTTCGCCTACTACGGCCTGTCCATGGACCTGCAGAAGTTCGGCGTCGGCATCTACCTGATCCAGGTCATCTTCGGGGCCGTGGACATCCCCGCCAAGCTGCTCATCATGGCCACCATGAGCACGCTGGGGCGGCGCCCCTCGCTGAGCGGCGCCCTAACCTTCGCCGGCACCGCCGTGCTCGCCAACCTGCTGGTGCCCCACGGTCCGTCCCTGCCGCCCGTACGGGACTGGGGGGGTGTCGTCACCCGTGAGCCTGTGTGGGGTTTGACGCCACGCGTGGTTCTGTGCTGGACAGGAGGGGGGCAGTGTGGCTGGGAGGTTGCCGGTTCGAATCCCGCGGCCGGCAGAGGAATCCTATTCCGTTGGGCCCCCCGAGCGAGGCCCCTTCACCCCAGCTGCTCCAGGGGCGCCGTGTAAATGGCCGACCCTGCGCTCTGACCCCCAGCTTCTCTCTCCCTGTCTGTGTGTCTCGCGGAGAGCCAGCTGGGGTCTGTGGAAAGACACATTCCCGATGCAAGAGATTGTAGATGACCGATCAAGTGCCCTGGTCTGATCTGATCTGGAAAGAGACAGTGCCTGGGCTGTGGAGAGTCTCCAGGGGGGAGAAGAGAAGGGAAGCCGATAGAGGAAGGGAGAGCAGAGGGGGGGGGAGAGGGAGAAGCAGAGCCGGCTCTGGGGGGGGCAGGAGAGGGGTGAGGTCAAAGCCGGCAGACGGACAGAGAGGCGGAGACGGGGGCGAGCCCGAGGTTGAGAGAGGGGGGGGCGGTGCGATCCCAGCTCCAGGATCCTCTGGGGTTCGATGTCGAATGGGGGGTTCGGCGGTGTCTGGCTGGGGTTTCGCGGGACGGCCTGCCGCGTGACAGGTGTGGACAGGTGTGGACACGCGAGGACGGCGCGGTGACAGCCGGTGTCTCTGTGTGCAGATCTGCAGACCCTGAGGACCTGTCTGGCTGTGCTGGGCAAGGGCTGTCTGGCTGCCTCCTTCCAGTGCTGCTACCTCTACTCCGCGGAGCTGTACCCCACTGTCATCCGGTAACACCCCTGATTCCTCACCCCGTCACCCCCCGTTCTCTCCCTCTCCTTCCAGTGCTGTTGTCTCTATTCCGTGGAGCTGTACCCCACATCTTCACCCTATCACCCCATCACCTCCAGTGTTGCTGTCTCTACTGTGGGGAGCTGTACCCCAGTTCCTCCCCCTATCACACCCCCCTCTCTCTAGTGCCGCTGTCTCTCCTCCAGGGGGCTGTACCCCACCATCAGGGTGGAATATGGGGTGCTGATTCCGTCTCCCTCCTGCCCCCTCTCCCCAGACAGAATGGCATGGGGTGGGTGAGCATGATGGCCCGGCTGGGGGCCATGGTCGCCCCCTTGGTGCAGCTGCTGGGGGAGTTCC